AACTGTATATTACGATACATCGGATCCGTTCGACCCATATGGACTTGTTTTGTTTTTGTTTTTTGTTTTTGTTTTAGTTTTTGTTTTGAGACAGAGATAATTTTAAAATAATTGTATGGATATTTTGTGGGAAAAAGGTCCAGTTCCAAAATCATGGTAGCATGGAATAATACACGTTGGTGATGACGTGGATACTGACCTCTTTTGTCGGGTGGGTTAATTTGACAACAGTAGCACCTGTCCGGTTATATTTGGATAATCAAAAAAGCAAAGTAAATCTAATTAACCACTCTGATCATATCTTTGAGCTCATTTTTGTTTTTGACTACACCTATCTTTTCTCTGAAGAGTTATAAACTGTGAAGTTCACACGTACGTATATACCAAATATGATGAGAACACAGATGTAATAAAAGAAGATCATAAATTTCACATGGACATTATATACATAAAAAGCACTGCACAAATCATGGGAAAACCTCCTTTTTCTATGTGTCCACGTACATATGAAAAAAAACCTGACATATATGTTACATAAAGAGATTCAAACGATTTGATCATGTCCAAAAGTGGTTTAAGAATCGGTTTGGATTACGAAACCCTAAAAGACGTGTCCCATGAGAGTTGTGGACACGAGTAAGATGAAGGACACGTTTTACTATTGTCATTCCACGACGTACGTACGAGATCTGAAATGCATGTTGGCCGGCTAGCTACGGTTAGGCCTTAGGCGTCAAAGCCTCCCTAATTGTTATTTTATTAAACTATATAACACACTCACACACAAATATGCATGACGTGAAAATGTATTTTTCTTTTTGTATGTACAATTTATCAAGTATATTGATACCAAAAACGATGATGTAATGTAAACGTACGTAAGGCAGTTCAGACTTCAGAGACTTCGATTTTTTTTTTTTTCTTTTTTTTTTTTTTAAGACCAAGAAATTTTAATGTGAAGAATGTCTCATTTGAATATAACTCGTCTTTAACAAAGATGCTAGAATTGTATTTATCGAAATGTGGTTAATTAGATTACAGACATGATTTTGTAATTAGGTTGTATATATGCGTTCGCCTATATATATTCTAAAGAACTACTGCTACGTACATTCGGGCCTAGAACCAAGAAGGCAAGAGAAGATTTCCATTGCGAATCAAAAAAACAAACAATAAAGAGACAAAATTTGGCACATTTATAGTATTAACGTGAATTAACAAATATGCATCATATATACTGCAAATGATTTAAAATAAATAAATCAAGGTTTCCTCATTAGGAAGTATCCCACGTTAAAGTAAGCTTCTGTCACGCACGCAAATAAAGGCGTGTTTGCATGTTAAGAAAGATATCGTCGGTCTAAGGTACAACGTCAATCATCTAGCTTGTGACGTTTTGTGAACTTTATGAATACTTACACTTAACAATTATAAGTTCATTCATCGATATACAATTGTGAATATCTATACGTTGTGAATATACCCAAGCGGTCTACTCGATGTACATTTTTGTATTAAAATTACTAGTCACAAAGAAAACCATATTTACAGTAAAAATGGACAAAACAAAACTGAAGTTTAATCCTTAGCTAATAGACTCCAGTGCGAAACAAAGGATGTCGTAATAATGAGTAGAGTCCTTAATTAGCTAATAGACTCCAATCGTTGTTATATAAATGTAGTTTAGACATGATTCATTACTCCAAACATATATATATTGATTTGATCAATTCCATATTCCAATGTAAAATTGGTTTATATAAGTAATATTTCTTTTAACCAAAAAAAAAAGTAATATTTCTTCAAATGAAGGAATACACATTATTCGAGTTTATAAAAATTACTTTTGAAAATTCATTTGTAATGGTTATATTCAGTTTTGAACTTCATCAAGCAAATGAGAATAATATAAAAATTTATCAGAGTTTTTTCAAATTTTTTTTAAGTATCTAAGTCAGTGCATATATATATACATATTTATGTAAAATAAAGTAAAACTCAACTGAACATCAAAAGCCCATGTTCATTTTGTTTTCTTTCTATATATCTTTGTGTACCAAATTGCCTTTGCTCAAATATCTGCAAGACATAGTATTACTTTAATGCAACGCAAATTGTGTTTTGTCGTGAAACAAACACACACATAACATAAGCCGGTCTATGATACACATTAAACATCATCACCATTCACATATACTATTATTATTACTTTTTTTTGACGCAAATACACTTGTACCACTTAAATATAAATACTAAATATATCCTCAATCATGTTTTTTTGTGTATATTTATTTCAGTATATATAAATTTTAGACAGAAAATAGCAAACGTGTCAGTCAAAAGCAGCTGCTAGATCATGCATTTGTCTTAAAGCATGTACTCGTAAAGTAATGCATGTACCCTAAACAACTTTTTATAATTTTGTCAAATGTATCAACTAAATTGTCACTTTAAATATTCTCCATATTACGATCATACAATAATTTCACCAGCACGATTGCACATTCGCACGCCATGATTGGATAAATAAATTACATTTGACAATCAGAAACTATATAATATCATTAAATACACAATAATATATAAATAAAATTTGAACAAGTCGTACCACGGCATTGCTACGTACAACAATGAAGGACGAGATCTAAGGCCGCGTAACGATGCAACTTACATATTTATTCGACCGCGTATATATGTTTCTTGTTGGAGAACATTAAATTTTGGAATCGTTCTACGATTAATTTCCCCAACTATATAGTCACTCTGTTCAACTTTTAAAATTTATGATCTTTTGTATTTATTATAAGATATGTGGGAGATGTGGATGTTTCTTGAATATGAAAAGTCACATATTCTTATCTTCTAAAAGATTATAAGGAGTCCACAACCTTTTCTTGATAAGACAAATGTCATTAAACTATGTGTTGATCATGAGTTTTGTCGATCTCTGACTGATTTTGACTGTGTCTCAAATTCAACATTTTCTTGGGGTCAAAGTGTCAAGTTGTATTGTGTTCGTTTGGCCATCTTTTTGAGTGAAAACAAATGTTATCTTAGTTTTTGTATCCATTCTAAATGTTATCCCATTGTATTAGTTTTAGTTTTACATTTCTAATTGAAAAAAATATATATATAACTCGAGGCTTACACAATATTGTTATCCATATTACCTTTACGTGTTATATGTATTGTTTTTTGTTGGCTCAAACTTAATTATATGTAATCTATGGTGGGTCATATGTTTTTAAATGTATTAGCTGCAATAGTTGTTAAAATTAATATGAACTACTACTTATATACATATATGTATTAATTTGAAAAGATGTTTGGTGATAGTTAGACTTCTCTAACTTTCAAAATTAATAAGAACGTAGACAAAGTATTCAAGTCTTTGGTCCTAGAATCCCACAAGAAAATTTTAAGTTATAATTTTTTACAAGCAAAAAGTCAATTGATATTAATTAGATGCAAAACAAAAGTCAATGGGATATTAAACATTTTATCAGTACTTGTTTTCATTGATCATAATTGTAATTTAAACCTACTTGTGTGGTTTTGAAAAACTAAAAGTCAAGTTTTATTTTTATATGTAATATTATTAATTTAGTTCTAATCACATATATAGGTTTTGATATTTGTTGTTTGGTCAACCACATAGGTTTTGATTAATTCGTATAAGCTACTAAATAAGATAATAATATATGGCTGTAATGCACAGCGAACGTGGGAGAGAAATAAGTATCAATGAATAAATTAAAGTTAGTAATCAAGTGGGCTTAGCTTACCATTAGTGACATATCTTTAATCGTAATTAAGTAACTAATCCTGAAAATTTGGATTGTGTGTCTTTGTTTTTCTTCAGTGACCAGACCACACGTGGTTTTTCCATTACGTTGAAGTATCAGATTCAATTTTTCATAGTTGAAAAGTAAAATTTGTTGTTAGTTGCCAAAACAAAAGAGTAAATTTTGTTAATAAAATAACTTCAGCATATAATATGTTATACTATATAGTATATACTAATCTAAGTATCAGCCAACCCAAGAAAGAAACATAAGCACTTGAAGTTGTTAATATAGTCTAAGAATTTGTTATAATTTGTGCTAAAATAACAAATTTATTTTATTATTCAGTTACTAACATTTTTTTTCCTTCTTCTTATATAAGTCTAGTGTTAGTAGCTTTAATAGTGATTTATTTTGTGTTTCTAGCTAGTTTTCTTGAAGATATTTTTAGCATTGAATTTATAATGACTTCCTGTTGTTTGAAAAATTGATTTTAGTTAAATAGAAAAAAAATCCAAATTTCATGATTTTAGCTAAGAATAATAATTTCTAAATCCTAAAATTATTATTAAGTCATTCATAATATTTGGCTAACAAAACGCAAGTATATTGTGTGTAGTGTAGCATGGTCTCCAAAATACTCGGACCCAAAACCATACATGCATTTATCATCATCAAACATCAATCATTATTTACTTTATATAAATATTTTGCAGTTGATATATACTATTGTTTTTTAAAAAAAATATCTTAAACAGAGATAAACACAAGAGGCTAGAAATTAGGATAGTACTTAATTAAAGAAGTAATATAAATCCATGAAGTGTATATATATATATAACCTTCAAATAACATGGCAAACATTTTAATAATTACCCGCCCATCATTTCCTCCTTTGTCTCTACTTAAGAGCCAAAATTGCCCCTTTCCTTGACTTAACTCATCATTAAATTAAAAAGAGCCATACTTAATTAACGATGGCTTAATTTTAATTTTAATTTAATTTTTTGGTCAAAATCTCACACGCTCTTTTTTTTTTTGTTGCATGCTCTTCGACACGTGCTCTCGTCACTCTCTCTCAAATGAGCTGGCTCAACCACAAAAACAAACAAAAAAGGTTCCTTTTAGGAAACTCCCTTCTTCCTCCACTGCCTATATAACTCATTCATCTCTCCCACTTGATTTTTCATCTCATCATCTCCTTCCTTCATTAGAGACAACTCACAAGAAACATACTCCCACTCTTTTTTAAAGACGAATTGGGTTTTGTTTTATTATAAATCTTAATGGATTTCTCCGGTTTGTTCCTCACTCTCTCTGCGGCGGCTCTGTTTCTCTGTTTGCTCCGTTTTATCGCCGGAATCCGCCGTAGCTCCTCCACGTCACTCCCTCTTCCTCCGGGAACAATGGGTTACCCTTACGTCGGCGAAACATTCCAACTTTACTCACAAGACCCAAATGTGTTCTTCGCTGCAAAACAGAAAAGGTCTAATAAAAACAGAGCTTTCTTGAAAATTCGAACTTTGTTGTCTATTAGAAAACAGAAAAAGAATTAACATTTTTTTTTTTTTCCTATATCTTGTTTTGGTAAAACAGATACGGATCGGTGTTCAAGACTCATGTATTGGGATGTCCATGTGTGATGATCTCGAGCCCTGAAGCCGCGAAATTCGTACTGGTCACAAAGTCTCATTTGTTTAAACCGACTTTTCCGGCGAGTAAAGAGAGGATGCTTGGAAAACAAGCAATCTTCTTCCATCAAGGAGATTACCATTCCAAACTTAGAAAGCTCGTTTTAAGAGCTTTCATGCCTGATTCAATCAGAAACATGGTCCCTAACATTGAATCAATCGCTCAAGAATCACTCAATTCTTGGGATGGAACTCAACTCAACACTTACCAAGAAATGAAAACAGTAAGCCCCACAGCCCCTCTCCTTAAAAACAGAGTGTCCCCTGTTTTGTCTATCTCAGTCTCAAAAAAACAGAGCATCCTCTGTTTCTCTCACTATACTCTGTTTTATAACTGACACACTTGAATTAAAACTGTTCCTGATTCAATTTTTTTTTTTGAAACTTTTGTCTAATCAGTACACTTTCAATGTGGCGTTGATCTCAATACTCGGCAAAGACGAAGTTTTTTACCGAGAAGATCTAAAACGATGCTACTACATTCTCGAGAAAGGTTACAACTCGATGCCCATCAATCTCCCGGGAACACTATTCCACAAAGCCATGAAAGCTCGCAAGGAGCTAGCTCAAATCCTCGCTAACATCTTGTCCAAAAGAAGACAGAACTCATCTACACACACAGATCTCCTCGGATCATTCATGGAAGACAAAGAAGGACTAACCGACGAACAGATCGCAGACAACATCATCGGAGTGATCTTCGCCGCAAGAGACACAACGGCGAGTGTGCTGACGTGGATCCTCAAGTACTTAGCCGATAATCCAACTGTTCTAGAAGCTGTCACTGTAAGCAAAACACACTTTTCAAAAGAACATTTGAGAATCTCATAAGTGGGAGTGGCAGTTCCGTGAATTAACGGGGTTTTGTTGGGGTATAACAGGAAGAGCAAATGGCAATAAAGAAAGATAAAAAAGAAGGAGAGAGTCTCACTTGGGAAGATACAAAGAAGATGCCATTAACTTATAGAGTAATCCAAGAGACATTAAGAGCTGCTACAATCTTATCTTTCACATTTAGAGAAGCTGTCGAAGATGTCGAATACGAAGGTATGTACATATATACACCTGTTTTAGAGTGCCTATAGATCAATATCTGATATATGAAAGTATTAATATATTGTGGATTTACTATTTTTACAGGATATTTGATACCAAAAGGATGGAAAGTATTGCCACTATTCAGAAATATTCATCACAATGCTGATATATTTTCCGATCCGGGGAAATTCGATCCCTCGAGATTCGAGGTTGCACCGAAACCGAATACATTCATGCCATTCGGAAGTGGTATCCATTCATGTCCAGGCAATGAGTTAGCCAAACTTGAAATCTCTGTTCTAATCCATCACCTCACCACTAAGTACAGGTTGGTACACTTTTTTTTTTTAACAAGTTTTAGACATGATCTTTTCTCTTTGGAATGTGTTTTTCTGATAAGGGGTACTTTCGTAATTTGCAGATGGTCAGTAGTTGGACCAAGCGATGGGATTCAGTATGGGCCGTTCGCTCTTCCTCAGAATGGATTGCCTATTGCCTTGGAACGAAAACCCCAAGTGGAATAATTAAAGAATGCCATTGGCCTTTCTAAAATTAGAAAGTGAGGATTTTTTTTTCTATTTAAGAGAAAAAAAAATAGAGAAAGTAAAAGAATCCCAAAAAGGGACCCCCCAAGTGTATATAGATTTTAGTTTTATATATATAGAGAATTAAATTTTGGGAGAAAATTAGAATTTTAGATATAAAAATGTTCCATGTGTGTAACTTGGTTCTTAGCTCTTTTATCTTTATTTTTGGTCATTTATTTTTCTTTCTCAAATTGTAAATTATTTTGTTACCAATATAATGATGAAATGCTCAAAGAGAGTTTTAGCATTATGTATCCTTCTAAATATTAATTGATAAAACTTTTTTATCATAAATATATTTTATTTGATTTAATGATTTTTAATGAAACAAAGTTTAAATTGAAATTTGCATTAGTCAGTAAATTATTGTGTAACTAGTTTAACACTTTTGTTGTGGTGCATGTATGCATGAGTTATATGACTATAGAAGGTATCTTTTTGACTTTGATATGAAAATCAATTGAATAATTGTGAATTATTTTGACTTAGCTAGGAAAAATTACATATCGAATAGCAATTTTTTAAAATATATTAGATGACATTTAAATATTCTAAATTTAATAAGGGTAGATTTTAGAGAAACATGATTATCTTCCCAAATAAGTCCCCTTGGTTGATTTTTCTTGTCCATAATTTAACCAATCCCCTATATAGTAAAAGAGGAGTACACTTTTCTTTCAAAAAAATTTATAAACAAAATTACAAAAAACCATGTTTTAACCTTTGCTTTACATTGTCTCTAACGTATTTAAAGGGTACATTAGTATATTTATCCCAAACGGATCGGGTCAATTAAGAAAATTAACCCGGAACTAGCAATTGGATCTTTAGCAAAATGGTCTCCCGATGTTTACGGCTCATTCTAGCGAGAATCAATGTAACAAAATTAATTAGAGCTCACGATACTACTTAAAAATGAAAGCGTAAATAAAAAGGATTTGAAAATAAAAAGGATTTGAAAATAAGCACTAAACTACAAAGATCACCATAGATTCCAAACGAAACCAAACAGTTAAATTACATCAAAATACTTCTTTTGGCTGATTTTTAAAAGAAGGAGGAGCCTAGAGACGAGAGAGTTGTTTGAAGAAAAAGAGGAAGATGAGGAACATGCAGAAATTAGTGGAGTCGATTTCAAGGTGTAGCTCCTCCAATTTGAAAAACAACAAAAATATGTTTAGGAGGAAGAAGAAGAAGACTCGATTTAGAGATCTTTCTTCTTCTTTTTTTGTTTTTTTTTTGTTTTGGGTTTCTGAGATTTTTTTTGTTTTGAACAAATCTGATTTATGAGATCTAATCGATAAAATTAAAACCCTATTACTGCATATCATAAATTTTGGTATAAAATAAAATAATAATATGGTGGGAGATCTTCTTCTGTATATGTATCTATATAGTTGTTTATTTTATATTGTTCTAATCCCCTATAGTAAAAAATAAGCACACTTTTATATAGATTGATTGGAATTAAAAATTAATTCGAAATTAATCATTTAGATATTTTAAAATCAGATATTCAACTGGGTTTCGATCTAAATCGGATACTTTATCAGCGGATTATATTATTTCCATATCTAGATTTATGATTTCCTAATATTTCTATAACAGATTTAAAATATATAAATTAAAAATATTTATTATTCTCCTTTCACCTTTATTTGATCTTTTTTTAATTTATATAAATATATAATAAAAATTCATCTTTTTCTTGATTATGTTGCAATTTGAAATTTTCAAAATGGATATATATAACTCATTTGACAAAGAAAATATTATTATAAACTTAATATATTATTAAAATAAAATTTAGATATCTAAAACGGCTTAGTTAAATATTTTGGTAAAATCTAATCGGGTTGGTTAAATTTTTTCATGAAAATTTTTATTAGACTTAATTGATAGAAAAAAGTGTAAGACATACCACATCGGGTAAATATGTTGGACAATGGTTTTAAATCATTATAAACATGACAGTATGCTTTTAAGTTTTAATTATGAATGAGCATGAAGTTTAACTTATCGGGCTTTCAATTTTAAAGTTTTTTGGATTAGTAAATTTACTGATTTGAGCATATAAATTTTTAAAAAGTTTCAAAATATTATAATTTTAAAATGTTTTAAAAGATTAAAATATTTTAATATTGAAACCTTTAAAATATTAAAATATTAAAAAATTATAGAATAATTAAAATATTAGAAACGGGTCAGAATATTGTTGCAATGGGTCAGAACATGATACACCACTTAAGTTTTACAATTAAATACTTTGTAATACCAAAAATAAATTATATGCTAATTTTTTTATTTTTACGGGTTGTTAAGAACATAACTAAATCAAAGTCTTATTAACAAAATATACTATTAAAATATTGATTAAATCGAACTTATAATACGAATAAGTTTTATTGATAAACTATATTATGTATCAAACTATATAAATCACAAGTAATTCACGGGTTATTTTGTTAATCAATAAATTATATAGTAGAGCAAATAATCAATAATATGTTTACGAATGCAATCTTTTATAGATTGGTCATTCAAAACATATATATGTTACAGACATGTATGATTCACCATAATTAACTATATTTATTTAACACAACTTCATGCACTAACCATACTCGCTAATGTTTTTGAATAATATTTAATATAAATTTATTAGAAAAATTAGTTACGAAAATAGCAAAATCATAATATAAAAATAAAAAAAAAAATTAAAATCTATTATATTAACAATATCCCGATAACTTTCCACCGCGCTATAGCGGGTCCGATTCTAGTTAGTGTTAAATCCAAACTTTTTTAGTCGTTTACAAAAGCCTAGAGAAGTAATTATAGGCTCACTAAGTTGAAAATATTTGAATTGAAAAAAGGGAGAATTTTAAAAATGCCCCTTTTGGGGAATACATTTTTAAAAATGCCCTAGTGAGGAGAGCATTTTTAAATATACCCTTCTTTTTGTACAAAAAGACAGTTATACCTTTAATGATTTAACCTAATTGCAAAAACATTTTTCTCCTTCTCCATCATCTCTTCTTCTACATCGTTTCTCTTTCTCTCTCTCTCTCTCTCTCTCTCTCTCTCTCTCTCTA